TAGAGCATAGTTGGGAATTGAAGGAATACAGGTTAGGCTGGAAAGGATCTTGTCTGTATTCCATGATAATGCAGTTAGGACTTATCCTGAGAGGGGGAAGGGTGTTGTTAAAGTATATTAGGCAAAGGAGTGTGCATTTGCCTTTAGAAGAGTTATTTTGGGAGCTGTGGGAAACACATTGGGACTCAGATAGAGAAATGTTTGAAGATGGAGTAAGGAAGTAGTTAGGAGGGTATGGAATCATTTCAAGGAAGAAGAGACAAGTGTCTAATTCATTCATTCAACAGACATTGGATTTAGGAAGTATTAAATAGGTTGACCCTATCTAGAATTCTCCATGATTAAGGAAAGAGAGGAATCTAGCATGATTCCTAGATCCAAGTCTGGTTGACTGGGAAAAAAATAATTTAGAGAGGTGAGGATTTGAGAGGAGAGGAGAGAGGGGCTCAGTAGGTTAGTAGACATGTTGACTTTGAAGTTACTGTAGTATATCCAAGTGGAAATGTACAACAGACAGTTGATTGTCCAAGCTCTGCAGTTTAGATGAAAGACGGGACTTTACTCAGAAGTAAAAGTGTTCAGGTAGATAAAGCCTGAGAGTGAGGGGTAATACTTGGTGAGAGGGCACTGTCCCTTAGGAACACTGACATTTGTGGGAGCCAAGGAATATATTTCTAGAGAGAAAGGTAGCATGGGGTGGACAAGCAGGAGGAAAAGGCCCAATGAAGAGATACCATAGAGGACAAGACAAGGAGCTGCCCTCTGGCTCAAGAACCATGAAGTCAAGACAGAAAGGGAACTGTGCACATTTGACTTTTACGTGGGATCCTTGGTGATTTTGGCAAGAGCTTGAGTCGTGAAGCAGTAGGGTGCAGTAGGTGTGGAGGCAGGTGACAGACTTAAGGAGTTGCTGGAGGTGAAGAAATATGCACAGATTATAATTTTAGGATACTAGGAAAGACAAGCATGTGGGATTTTTAAAAACTGGTGGTTATTCAAGCATTTTTAAAAACATGTATATCTTGTAAATGGAGGAGGGGGATAGGGAGGCTGATAATTACTTTGTGAAAGTCCTTGAGATAGATGGGTTGGAGGCAGAAGTGGAAGCCAGCTCTCACATGAAGTTAATTCATATTGTCTGAAAAGTAGGAAGTTGGAAAAGAGGCATGGATAGTTGGGATTGCAGGTAAGTTTATAGAGGAGTACTGGTGGTAGATTCTGGCTTCTCTGAAGGACTTAATTTGAATTAAGCAGAGAAAGAAGGTTTCTTTAGAGTGTGTGGGATGAGAGAGAAAAGGAAAAAGGTTTAAAAGTTGTTAAGAAGGAGAAAAAATTTACATGGAACACAAGAATAGGTAAAAGATTAAGGGCCTAGACAGGTGGGGACTAAAATAATCTTTTGCTATTCCCTAATGGCAACACTAATTTCCTTTCCCTTTTCTTTCCTCCCTCCCTTTCTTCCTTTTCTTTTTAAAAATATTTTTGCAACACAAATTTTCTGAACAGTCTATGATACAGAGTCCCCTCTGTCCATCCACAGCACTCTATCCATGTAGAAAGGACAACAGTATGACCTTTCATGGTAAGAAGTACTTACCATGCTCCATATGAGAGCTGTAAGCTCCTAACTTATATAATTCCCATATTATTGTCATCACTGTATCATCCCCTCTCCTGTCACAGTGATCATATCAGGTAATTCTCAATAGAAGCTTCTTGCATTTTAAAATTTTTTGAGCTGAACTCTGCTCTGACTACCATGGATCAGAGCTTCACTGCAGCTTTTAACCTGCTTTCAGGACTGTGATCTGAGATGGTTTGTGTTGGTGGAGTGTGTTGGTGGAAGTCCTAAGGTCCAGTGCTTTTGGCATTTGATATAAAGCAATTTTTCCTCTTGATTTGCTAATTTTCTTGTACTCTACATCACTTTTGGTGCAATTTGTCTGCTTTCAGATTTCTGTAAGCACATCTAGTTTATTCAGAATTTCCTTACTCATGATAATTATTTTCCTTTATTTGCCCCCTGTATTTTCTATCTTTTCTTCACTTTGCTGTTTCATCAGAAGGCAACAAGCAAAGGAGAAAAACCCCAGATTAGATCATTTTTCCTACTTAGTAGTTCTTGATATGTGTTTCTAAAGGATGAAGTTATAATTAAGGTCTGGAGTGACATTTTTACACTGCTCTCATTTATCACTTATTAATGTAAAAGGTTACTCAAAACATGGTTTTGTTTATTCTGGTCAATTTTATTTTAAATTTTACTGACAGCATTTTTTCTATTAAGTTACTTTAGCTGTGAAAGAAGTAATGCAGTGCAATCAGTGCTTTCTGTATTCTTTACCAAAGTTATTTTCTAAACATAGTTGTGCAATTATGTTGTGTTTAACAACCACTTCTCACCTAGAGTTTTCTCAAGAAGTTTGATAGGATAACAGAACTCTTCACTTTCATTTCTTCTACTAAAGAATGATTTTTAAAATTATTAAATTTTAATATTTTAAAATTATTTAAAATATTATTTTTAAATCTTTTAAGTGATTCAAAAGTGTACAGTGGACATGTCAGATTTTTTTATTTCACTCATTAATTAAAAAGCAAACTAGCAAGAATGTAAAACACATTTGAAAGAGAGTTGGAAGAGTGAAAAGATTTATAAGCAGGAAGGAATGCTGAAATAAAGTTGCTAAAAGAGGCAAACTTCGTCAGTATCCTTATCAGTAAAACATAATTTTTGGAATGTTCTTTTCCACCAGGTGGAAATCAGTTGCAAAACAAAATTTATTTGTATCTCTTAGGACACCAGTAATATGCATTACAATCCATTTTTAGCAACTTCTGGAATTGCAGAAGAGCCCAAAGTCAGTGAAAGACACTGGTCCTTATTGAGTCAGATAATTCCAAAGGGTTTGATAGACAGTGCTCAGCACTCCACCGAAAGGACACCCAGTAATCTTTCTGTCCATTTCAGATTCTTTCACATATTTTTTGACACTTGCCATATTTTGTAATTCCAACACCATCACCCCTTTATACACTGTGGATTCTTCCCCTCCTTCCTTCTCTCTCAGGGGAAATAATTCACAACTCTGAGGTTTTTGAAGAATGCAATTTGAAGTCCAGATTTTGCCTGGAGCTTCCTAATATCTGGATGGCTAGAAACAGAACTAGAAAGAAGTGAGCTGTGGACACCCACAACTGTGCTTCAGAGGGCAAGTTCCCCAAAGTACAAGAGTTTGGGCCAGTCAGAGAGGGTCCAGATCGTTACATTAAAATGCCACACTGTCTAGTTTTTATAGTGTTGCCCTTTATTTTTACAGCACAGTATTGTTTAGAAAGGATTAGCCTATATATTTTTCCTTTGATGTTCACCACAGTTTTATGAAGTTGCTGTGAAGTTTTTGTTTTGTTTTGTTTTGTTTTACAGTGCTAGAGATTGAACCCAGGGCCTATAGTATGTTTCACAAGTGCTCTGTCACTGAGTTACATCCTCTACATCCCCAGTACCCAATGTTCTTTTTTTTTTTTTTTTCTGTGATTAGGATTGAACCTAGGGGTACTCTAACACTGAACTACATCCCCAGCCCTTTTTTGAGACAGGGTCTTGCTAAGTTGCTTAGGGATTCACTAAGTTGCTGAGGTTGACCTCCACCTTGCAGTCCTTCTGCCTCAGCCTCCCTAGTCTCTGGGATTATAGGCATCTACCACCATGCCAGATCTTTTTATCCTCTTACTTATAGAGTAAACCAAGGCATAGAAAAATGAGTTACTTAAGATTACTTACCAAAAAAAAAAAAATGACAGACATAGGGTTTGTGCTCGGTTTATGAACACCATCCAGGTCATATTCAATTCTGCATCCTTATGTTCAATTTTTTCATTGGATAATAACTACGTTCTTAGAATAATAACAACCTAAGCCAATGAATTTTGATTCTAGTTTATAGAGATGAAAGACATCTTGGACAAACTATTTACACTTCATTTATATTCGTTAGTGTTTTGCTGAGGAAAAAAAATTTACCACTTAGATAAAAGAGTTGATAAGAGGCTGAAGAACATGGAAGATAACTAGTTTCTCCACATTGTTATGCATTTTAGTTGTATACTGCAGCTACTGGCAATTTGTGCCATTAGGAAGAGTTGATGGAATACACCCTGATCATTAACAATATTCGCTCTTGGTTTCAACTTGTTTCTTGGCTTTTAGAGTGGTTCATGGTTTCTAAAAGGAAGAAATACCTATAATATACATTTGGAAATTGTTGTTCTGTAGATTCAGTGAAATATAGAAGTGGGAAAATGCCATTCAATTGTATCTAATCCTTTGTAAGGCTTGCATACAAAATGTCTATTGCTGTCTAGATTTGCAATGGGAAAATTGCCACAGAGAATTTTTTTCTCGTTAGTATTCTAAGACTTTCCATCTTTGTGGAAAGATGTGATTTGATGTATCCAATTTACTTTGTATATTAAAGTAGAGGAGAACTGCCCCTCTCCTTTTTCTTTTAGGAATGTAGCATAAAGGTAGAGATAAATTTTATATCAGTTTAGCAAGTTATATGTAGAAGAAGTATATAGCAGTTGAGAGTGAATATAGTATTTGGGTTGATTTTTTCTCTTCAAAGTTTTCCCATGGTAAGGACAATACTTTTCTACATATTATCAATAGGCAGAAATGATTACTTCAAAGCTTTTAAAGCCAGATGACTATACCTGCATGTTCCAACACAGTTGCTGAATTTATTCCCAAGATGCATGGTAATGTATACTTTGTATTATTGAGTCTGGATAAAGAAAAGTTACAGTGTCATCTACCAGCTGTGCAAGTTAATACCGAAATAATCTGTTTTTCACTTTACTGTTCTTCCCTATTGCTGCACTACTTGCTTAAATGAACCCTGGAAGCTTTGCAGCTTATTTTAAGGATTTGTAACATACCTAAGATTTATAGTATAGAATTGTATAATTAGTGAAATCTTTTTCTTTTTCTTTTCCAGGTTCAGCCCAGCTACTATTTAATAAAACCAAATCAGTAGAATTCACCTTTTGCAATGAAACTGTTGTCATCCCATGTTTTGTTATTAATGTGGGGGCACAAAACACTAACGAAATGTATGTGAAGTGGAAATTTAAAGGAAAATACATTTTCATCTATGATGGAGGCCAAGACAACGCTACTATGGACAGTAACTTTTCAAGTGCAAAAATCGCGGTCTCAGAATTACTTAAAGGAGATGCTTCTTTGAAGATGGATAAGCGTGATGCAAAAGTAGGAAACTACACATGTGAAGTAACAGAATTAACCAGAGAAGGTGAAACAGTTATAGAACTCAAATATCGTGTTGGTAAGTAATATAGTTTGAATATAGTTTGAATCATGTCAAAACTGGATTGCCGTTGTGACTGTTGGGGTGGTAGGGCCTCTAAGACGTGATTGATTAGGTCATCGAGAGGGATTAAGGCCTTTCTTGAGAAAATGAGATATGACAAAAGAAGTCCCTCCCTTGTTCTTTTGCTCTCTAATACACATTCCACCCTTCCACCATGTCATAGTGCAATACCAAAAGCAGAGTAGATGCCTATACCATGCTCTTGGACTTCTCAGTCTCAGAAATATGAACCAAAATAAAGCTCTGTTCCTTATAAATCACCCAGTCTCAGGCACTCTCTTATAGCAACCTAAACAGACTAAGATAGTAAGACCTCTATAATAGCTTCCTCTTTGTCCTGCTACAACTGTGATCCTATTAGATATGGAGCACCCTGAGACTAGGAACCTTTTGAACCAGAAAGCAAGCCATTAATAATGAATGTTAGTATAATGTTTACCAGCTTAAGACCATAGTTTCTATCTTATTTGCTCTGCTTTAAAATTTTCCACAGTTTTAAAACTCATCAACTGATCATTCATTTATTTGTTGTGTGGCTCTCAAACTTTTGGTCTGGGGACTGTTCTATTTGGTTGATCAGTCCTGAGACATCTACTCTGCATTTCTGTTTACTGTCATCAGAAGTACTTTGTTTCATTTGATTAGTTTTTTAGTTTCTTTACAATTATTAGTTTCAGTTATTAATTTTGTTTTATAACTTTTCACTTTAACCAAGGGTTGACAAAAACAACACAGGAAGCTGTGCTTCCTCTACAGAGGATGAGAATCTAGATATTAAAAGTGAGGTTATCATGGGTAATTCATTTTCTTAAGATTCTCAGTGTTGAGCCTTACTTAGAATAATATTTGGCCAAGATGTGGGGGAATAGGGATCTAACTTAATTGAATTTGTGTTTTGTTCATAGCACGATTCTGCCCTCTTTGCCAAACTGGGTTGTGTGAGGCCATGAAGTTAGCTGGAGTATACAGTCTTTTTGCTATTACTTGCTATGCTAGCTTATTTCTTCATCCACAAGAGAGGGTTTTTTTTTTTTTTGGCTTTACATTTTTAAAGCTTTATTTTGCATCATCCAACATATTGCTGATCTTGGGGTTGACCATACTTTGGGATGGGATCAGAACAGTTCATTGGATCAACTAGTTTCTTTCTATTCTTCTAGCCTTTACTGTTATGTCTCTTTACCCCACTGGGAATGGGGTGTTTAGCTTGATGAAGTATTTTGACATCATCTCTCAGGATTGGGAATCAGCATCTTACTATTTACTGTATGATCTTGAGAAGTTGCTTCATTGAGTCCAAGTTGCTTCATCTCTAAAATGGGAATGAAAATAGGTAGATACTTACTTTTATATGTTCTCCAGGATCTAATGAAGCCTATGTGTTAGAATTTCTCTGTAAACTAATGTGTATTACAAGTGTTGCTTGTTTTCCTGGGATGTTCATATTATAAAGGTATCAGGTTGCTGAAGCCGGCACAGAGTATTGTGAGAAGGATTTTGCGCAGGAGGAAACAGTCAGGGAATGGCTCAGAGTAGACAAGATTTTGGAAGGCTTTCCTGCTCAGAAATCTTGCCTACTTTGTAATTTTTACTACTGATATTAATATAGGCAAAGAAGATTTTTATTTTAAATGTACACATTTCAGAAGGGAGCTATTCAGTCAGGCACATACATTGTGAGTGCCTGGAGGAAGGTGATCTAATACCTGATTGAAATTTGTCTGGATTAATGAAGCATTTCATGGGAGTGAAAGAACGAATTCTGAGGGACAGTAACTTTGGAGGCAAGGTAGTTCACTGAGAAGAAAACTGAAAACTGGTAAGAACCAAGACCTAAAAGGTCAGAAGGTAGAATGAAAATGAATGTAAGGGAATACCAGTATCTGAGATGAAGACAAGTTTACATTTTGCATGTCATTGTTTTATTTTTCTTTGTTTTTAAAATACCATGTAAAAAACTTATTTATATTTAGATGAGAAAGTATTATTTTATTATAGAGAATATAGAACAATTTACCAATGGACTGAAACATTTGACACCCATTTTTATTTTTTTAAATAATTATTGAGTCACAGAAAGGGTCAGAGAGAGGTGCTGTGTCCCCCTCTTCCAGTCTTCCCTAATGGTTATATCTTGTGTAACTATGGCATAATATCAAAAGCAGGAAGTTCAGTGTGTTTGAGTGTTTCTCTGTCATTTCTACACATTGTTCTTGTGTAACTATCACAGTCATTGGAATGGAGAGAGCTATTTCATTAACAGACATCTCTCTCATGGAACCTTTTATCACACCCCTACTTCCATTACCCCTAATCTGACAAGCACTAATTGGTCAGTGTTATATAAATGCAATCATTTGATAGATGACTTTCCAATATTTTGGCTTTATCATGGAGCACAGTGCCCTTGAAATCCATCCATGTTGCTACATGCATCATTGCTTAGGTTCCTTTGTTGCTTTGTCTTATTTTTTGTTTGCTCTCCACCCCCTGCCTTTTTTTTTTTTAACTGAGTGGTATTCATTGGTATGGATTTATCAGAACTTGTCTAGCCATTCACCTATTTCTGGACATTTGGTTATTTCTAGGTATGAGTTATTACAAATGAAGCTGCTGTGAACAATTGTGTACAGGTGCTTATTTAGATATACATTTGGTTTTGCTGATCCATTCATAGAAGTATGATTACTGGGTCATATGATAAGTGTATGCATAGCTTCCAAGAATGGCTGTTCCATTTTACATTCATTTTACATTATCAGCAATGTGAGTGACCTAATTTTCCCATATCTTAGCCATGATATGGTGCCACTATTTTGCAACAGTTTTTCTTTGGAAAAGTAAAATATTCCTCTGCACCAAAAGGTTAAGTAGGGCAGTACTCTTAATTGGGAATATACATTTGTTGTAATAATGATACCCATCATGTAGACTTCAGGAACTTAGGCATTAGACACTATTTTTACTATAATGTGCTTTTGTATATGCAAAAAATAGGTATAAATGAGGAATAGAAATCACTCAATGAGAATTGAATCCCACTTAATAGAATGCAGGTAATGGAGACTGTTCAGTGTTCCCTTTTCTGGATCATGAGAATAGAATATGTGCAAGCATGGTCTATAAGACATGGTTTTGTAGACCTCCAGTGCCAGTGGATAGTACAACACTATGGAAGGAGCACAGTTCTTGAATTTAGAAAGCTCTTTTCTATAGTTCATTTTTCTAGCTTACAGAACTCAAGAGAAGAAGTTCAACCTATCTGTCCCTCAGTTTTCTATTAGTACAGTGAGGATACTATCTCAATTACAGGAATATCTGTAAAAAATAAGATAATATCTCTCTTGCTTAATAAAGACTTGAGTGCCTACTATGTTACAGGCACTGTGCTAGACACTGTTGATTTAGTGATGACTAACATGTTACCACTAAGATCATGGAAAAAGCGCAAAATGACCTGACATTTATTTATTTACTTATTTGGGTGCATCCTAGATACTTTATGTATGTCATGTTTTCTGAGCTTCTCAAGAACTCTAGGACATGGATGCAGGTCTCACCATTTAATACATCAGGGGTAAAAGAGACTCAAGATACTTATTCAAGGCCAGAGTTACTGCCAGAATTGTAGCCTGGATCTCTTTGACTTCTAAATCACCAAATTGTGTGTTTCCTGTGTGAAAATACTTGTAAATAACCAAATACTAACTGTAAATATTAGTACTTATATGATTAATTGTTAATAATAAGCCAGGCAGAGTGAAACTATGCCTGTAATCTCAACATCTGGGGAGGCCGAGGCAGGAGGATCCCAAGTTCAAAGCCAGCCTCAGCAACTTAGCAAGGCCCTAAGCAACTGAAAGACCCTGTCTCTAAATAAAATACAAAAAAGGGTTGGGGATGTGGCTCAGTAGTTGAGTGTCCCAGAGTTCCATCCCAGAACGGCCCCCCCCCAAAAAATAATTGCTAATAATATTTCTATTTCGATTAATAAGACAAAAAACATTGAGAGCTTAAATTTTATTTTACTCTATGTAAGCTATTAAGGTCATTCAAGTTCAACAGAGTTTTCAATTCCATCATTGTAAATATGATATACACTTTATTCATAATGATGAAGTCACTCTAAAGTCCTCATATTAGTTTTCTAGTGCTGTGCAATAAGTAACCGCAGACATAGCAGTTTAAAACAATACACATTTATTCATTCAATTTTTTAACTCACAGCTCTATTCATGGTGTGACTGGGTCATCTGCTCAAAGTTCTACAAAGCTAAAATTCAGATGTTGGCCAAGTTAATATTCTTTTTTTTCCCACTTTTTTTATTAGTGCACATTTTTTATAGTTGTACATCTTGATGGGATTTGTTACCTATTCGTATATGAGCACAAGTTAACAATATAATTTGGCCAACGTCACTCCCCAGCACTTCCCCCTTCCCTCCCTGCCTCTCAACCTCTGGTCCCTCTCCCTTTGATTTTCATGAGAACCACCCCCACTTTTCTCTTCCTTTTCCCTCTCTATCTTCTCCATATGAGAAAAACATATTATCTTTGACTTTCTGAGTTTGACCTGTTTTGCTTAATATGGTCTCTAATTCCATTCGTTTTCCTGCAAATGACATAATTTCATTTTATTTATGGTTGAATAAAACTCCATTATGTAAATATACTATGTTTTCTTTATCCGTTCATCTGTTGATGAACACCTAGTTTGACTATTGTGAACGGTGCTGCTACAAACATGGGTATGCATGTAACACTGTACTAAGATAACTTTAATTCTTCAGGATAAATACTGAAGAATGGTACAGTTGGGTCATATGATGGTTCCATGCCTAGTGTTTTGAGGAACCTCCATACTGATTTCCATAGTGGTGTACTAATTTACAGTCCCACCAGCAATGTAAAAGGGTCCTTTTTCTCCACATCCTGTACAGAATTTATTGTATGTA